TTAATACACAAGGGCACATCTCTAAAAGCCAAATCATCACTTGGGCATGTGCAAAAAAAACAAATGAATCAGAATGAATTACTACTAATTAGAGTAGATATAGCTTTATTTTACATTCCTACTAAAAATAAATAAAGACAAAAGGAAAAGAGTGAACAAAAAGCGAGATCAATATTTATGCTCATTGGTCATCCCAAAAGGTTCAACCACAAATTAGTGAGTGAACAAAGTGGAGTGTAACTAAATTGTAAACAATAAACAAGGGAAAGGAAAAGCTCACTCAAAAAAAAAATCAGCAATTGAATGGCTCTATGTATAATAAAGCATATCAATTTAGGATTTGTTTAATGAAATTGGGACACGCATATATGTAAAACTGTATAATATTTATAGAAGTGAGTGTTAATATCATAAACAATTCGAATTTAGGCATAGGTTCACACCTAGATTTTGTTTAAGTGTGGTTTTAGGCCCTTTTTTTTTGGCTTATTTTTTGTTGTAGAATATTCTTTAATTATATAGGATAAGAAAACTTAGAAAATGTAAAGAGAATAATCAAATTATATATATTCATTTGTGTGTAGTGATATAATTGATTGCATTTAGTGCTATATTTAATCAGAATGTATTTTATTAAAAATGAGTATATTAACATTTGTGAAAATGATAGTATAATGTAATGTTAAAAATTAACATCATACATAATTAAAAATAATAACAGTTCTCACGATTCTCACATCAGGACTAACTTTTATTTGAACCAGCCCCTATTCATTCATACATCAGTTAACGGTCATCAAATAAATACGCCTTGACTGTAGACAATTTAAAAAAATTGTTTTTATTTTTTTCATGTTATACAATTTTTGCTCTTAAAGTGTAGTCTTATTAATTTTGCAATGTTGTTACACTGCGTCCAATAAGTTTGGCAAATTAACACACCTATACCACATATAAGAACATCCACAATGCTTTGAGTTTACTCACAAAAATATACAAGCCACATAAAAAATAGACCTAGTCAAGAAAAATTTGTACTCCAATGCAAGTGTAAGTAGATCAGGTCCTGCTTACGTGACAATAAGAAAAAGAGACCCGGTTTAGCTTTAAGTGTATTTTAGACCCTAGTAGAGACATAGTCTCTTTGTATTGGAGTTAAATTTGTTTATTTTTTATATTTTTGTCCATGTCATCCAAGACTTAAGTCTATTTTCTTGACGCATAAGTACAATTAGACCCAAAACATTGTAGATGCTCTAATAATTATTTGCTTATGTAGAATCTTTTATCAATTTGGAATTTCGGGGCATTTTATTTTCGCAATTACGAGATCTCTCTCTTTCTCTCTCTCCATACAATTTTATTCTCAATCCAAATAAAAACAGAACAATTAATATGTCCAAACAAATTCAAAAATTCAAATTGTTTTTCATTTTATCGGCGTCTTGCACACAAAAAAAAACCCATCAATTTAGCTGAGCGAAAAATAATCAAAGGAGTTGCGAAAAGAAAAAAATTGGTGTTCGTGAAATCCCATCTGTTCTTAACTCCTGAAGGTATTTACGTGTTCGTGTTTTTTATTTGGTGCTCAATAGCACTATTGTTGTTCATTTCATATATATATTTTGATGATTTCTTATGTGACATGACGAGTGTTGACTTATGGATTTTCAGGAATATGTCTGAAGTAACTGTATTTATCCATCACAATGGAGTATAGATCAATATTTAATAGGTCGATACTATGTTGAAAATAGCAAAGTATACGGAAAATAAACTTGAGATAAACAACACTGAAAAAATCAATCCACTCATTGGAAGGGTTTGGCCATGACGTCGGCGCCAGCAAAGACTCAAACCAGGATGGGAGCCTCTGGAGAATGAGCATAATATAAAAACATGTTCAAATCTAAGATGTTTATGGAGATAATGTTTATAGTGGTGCTAATGATAACATAAAACTTGGTTACCCTTATATAGAGTGGATGTCTTGATGTATTTCGTAGCTTACCATTTCTTTATTCAAGCAACTATCCTTAGCAAACTATACTTTCCATGCTACTAGGATCATTTCCCTTTTACTACATAGACTCGAGATACCTAGATCGTAACCACAACCTTCTGAACTTTCTAACACCTTACCGAGGTCGATACCCGACCTCACCTATTGGCAACCTCAAGACCTTGACATCTTCATTCGTATTCGAGCTCCTGGAGGTCGTTAACCCTAGGTCGTCGTATAAAGTCGTCATGTACCATGAGTTGCTTTTGTGAGCTCTCTGTTAGCTTCTTTTCAACGAGTTGAAGCTTGTTCGGACCGACCTACTTCGAGCTAACCACTCATGTTGGTCTGCCAAGCTATTTTGGGTGTTAGATCAATGCTAACTGTCGAAGAGAATGAAGAAGAAGAGAGATCCGATTTTACTAGAACTGCTAATACTAATGAAACCATATGAAATGGACACGAGACCTACGACTACGATTACTAGACCGTCTGTTCAATAATGCATCATGTCATCTACTTTCATCAAAGTAAATAAGCAAGAGAGAAATGAGAACTTTGATTCTCAAGGCAAGAGATACATAAACAACTTAATTGACATATCATTAGTTGAATAATATTATTTAACCCAAAAATTCTTCGACTTAATTAATATTTATATTTATAATATATCAACTTAGCCAAAGCCAAATTTCTCTAAACCCCACCCAACTCTTCACACCCATTTATATTGAAAAAAAAAAAAATCGGCCTTGAACTGGTTGAACTAGCCTTGAGCAATCGGCTCCAAACCACCAGTTCACTTAACCGAACGGTGCATATGTTCGGACCGATTCAAGGCCTTCAAACCCTTGAAATTGAATTTTCGCCAGGTCTAATCATGGGTTACTAAAACCTAGGGGTGGTATCAGTTCGGTTACCGAACCGATAAGCGTATACCGATACGGTACCGATAATGTCGGTAACCTCGAAATGCAAAACCGATACCGAACTGATTAAATTTGGTTACCAAAATTCGGTAACTGAAAACTTGGTTCGGTTTCGGTTCGGTATCAGTTTTATACCCAAAAAACTGAACCGATTTTGAATACAAAAAAAAAATTATAGTGTTTACTTTTCTCGTCATTTTTTTAATTTTTTCACTTCTTACCAAATAACATACACACAAAAGACTCACAAATCTATTGATGAATTAAAAAGTTTAAATGTAATATATAAAAGTTAGTTTAAATATAATTAGATTATTGTTTTTGTAGTAAACGCAACTAATAAAACAATATATTGCTAACATGCAAGAAATAAAATTTGTGATACAACTTCAATTAACTTATCTAGTAACGGTGGTACGAGAATAAGGCGATCTAGTGGTATTTTTCTCGTCATTTTGAGATTTAAGTAGGGTTGAACA